GTGTATACATTTCAAACTTGAGGCAGCCATCCTCAACTTGAAGCACCGGGAACGTTTGTATTTTCCAGAAACGAGGTGCTAAGTTCGCCGTCTCCCCCACTCTTGCTGACATCTTGTGTGTTGTAATCTTCCTCTCATCCTTTGCACCTTCCTCAGTCTCGCAAGTTTCCAGGCATTAGACCCGGATACGCCCACCTCCTCCCCTGTTCCTTTACATCCAGAGGGTTCACCAGCTGCTTCTGTCTGGGGGGGGGGGGAGGTTACTTTCTACCAACTGTCATGTCTCCTGTATCTTTCCTAATCTCCCTCCGATCCTCCTTCCCGTTCTTCTCCCCTGTCTCTTGGCTCTCCACGCTGCCTATATGTGCGAACTGCTTTCCATCGCTCCCAGTAATCTTGTTGTTCCCTCTTTGTCCGTTCACACGCTAGAGGTCTGTTGTCCAGTACGTTGTTGCTGGAATACCTGTCTTGAGTCAGAAGCGAAAGCCTGGCTCGTCTCCCTCCTCCCCAGCGGGAAAGAAGGCTTCACTTTCTTCCTCGCACTCGACCTCTGACTCTATTGCTCCATCCCCTCCCATTTCTGTGGTAGTTTCCCCCTGTTCCTGCTATGGTTTCTTTGGCCCCTGCTTCCTTCATGGTTGCTGCCCTTGCTAAGGTGTGCTCCCCGGTTTCTGCCCCTCCTGCTGTCATTGACCCTCGGATGTCTCCTCCTACAGACCCTGCTCATCCGCCTCTGGTCTGTTCTCCTGCTCTTACCTTCATCCTTACTCGGTTTACCCATGTCCTCTGACTTTCCTGAGCTTCTTTAACATGTTGTTCCATTTTAACCCTTTGCGTATTCTTTATTCTGTTGCTGTCCTCTCTTTTTGTCGACGTCTATTCTTGAATGGAATATTCGTAGATATTACGCAAATTTCCATGAACTCGCATTTCTGATTTCAGTTTTCCCCCCTTTGTCTCCACGAGCAGATGCTTGGTGCTCGTCCTGGTCGCATCCATGGCTATTCCTTTCTCTCTTCACCCCAGGCTTTTGCTGAGGCCCATTACTCTACTGCTATCTTGATTCGTTCTGATATAACATTAGTTTCCCTACTTTTCTCGTCGCCTCTCAGATGTTCTGCTGCCAGTCTTTGGGAGTAAATGGTATACGGTTTGTTAAATTTCTCCCCCAAATGTCCCACTTTACCTTCCGATCTTTAACACCTACTGGACTCTGCCAGAGCCTGTGCTCCTGCTGGGTTATTTAAATGGTTGACATACCCTCTAGGGTGATGTTCTGACTACTGGGTTTGTCTTCTCGAACCGTTCATCCTCTCTTCTTCCATGTCTTTTCTGATTTCTGGTGAGCCTACTCGTGTAGACTCACTCACACCCTTCCTGTCTTTATCTTTCTCTCTGCTCGTCTCTTTACTTGCATTTCACTTAGCGGGTTCTTGATGACCTCCATGGCAGTTACTATTTCTCATTCTTGTTACCTCTTTCTCTTCACCCTCTCCTTCCCTAGGTGGCAATTGTCAAAGAGACTAGAACCTCTTTACCCTCGGAGCTACTCTCTCCAACCTCTACATTCTGCCTCTCCCTCGTATCTTCATTCTTTTTCAAGAGTCTTCGACGCTACCTTCCACTCTATTCCTCGCGCTACCTCTTGGGACACGCAGAAGCGAGTTCCCTGGTGGGAAGTGGAATGTGCTCGGGCTATCCACTGTAAGCATGAAGCCTGGAAACGACACCGCTGCCGGCAGACGGCTGATTCTTTTTTCCTGTTTCGGAAGGGAAGTGGTGGCTGGTAGGACCATCCGTATGGGGTAAAAGTGAGAGTTGGAAGTCTTATGTTTCAACCATTACGTCCGAAACTCCTCTGCTGCAGATCTGAAAGCGTATCTGCAAGTTATCAGTAAAGTTCGTTCCCGATATCTCGCCGGTCCTTTACCTCTGCGGTACTGTTGTGACAGACATGGTGCAAGTTGCAGCCGAACTATGTTCTCTCATTTCATCTGTTAGCTCTGGTTCTCGTCTTCCTCGGTCTTTCCTTCTTCGTAAGCCTGTTCTTGAATCTCATTTTTGGATTTCCGTGCCCATCTCGGATTTCCTTATGACGATCCATTCTCTGATTTTCAATCTGCCCTGGCCCTCTGCGGTTCTACGACAGCGGGCTCTGAAGACATTAATTATGGGATGCTTCGCCATCTCCCTCCGTGCACGTCTCCCTATTTGAAGTCTGAATAACCGGGTCTGGGAGTCGTCGTCAGTTCCTGTGGACTGGCTCGATGCTGTTGTCCTCCCTGTTCAGAAACCGGTATCTCTCGGGACATCTTCTCAGGACTTCCGCCCTATTGCCCTCAAGAGTTGTCTGCAAACTCTTTGAACGTATGGTTAACGTTCGTTTGATGTTCTTGGAACACTTTCACCATCTCTCCCTCTCAATTTGGTTTTTGCAAATGCCACAGCATAACAGATGTCCTGGTGAACTTGGTCTATATTCGTACTGCTTTTGCTCCGAAAACCTACGTTTTTTGCCGTCCTTTTTGACCTGGAAAAGGCTTTAGATACCACTTGACGATATCATATTCTGTCCCAACTTCATTCTTATGGCCTTTGTGGTAATCTCCCATTCTCTCCAGTTTCTTCTCGTCGTTCTTTTAGTGAGGTTTGGTGCCACTCTCTGCCTCTTCTCGGCAATGCGAGGGTGTACCCAAGGTAGTCTTCTGAGCTCTACTTTTTCTGGTTGCCCTAAATGGTTTTCTTTCCTCTTCCTTCTGACGTCTTCTCCGCTCTGTCGACGATCTTAAACTATGTCGGTAATGATTCGCCTCTCCTTCAACGGTGGCTTCAACTCGAGATTGATGCCGTATCGTCTTTGGCCACCGATCATGGCTTCAGGTTGTCTAAGACTTGTGCTGTGACTTATACTCTGAAGCGTGGTTTTTCTTCGTCCGACATTTTATGGCCATCCCCTTGTGTACAGAGGTTCCACTAAGCTTTTGGGGGTTAATATTTGACTAGTTTGTCTTAGCCGCTCCATATCTCTGATGTAAGAGTTGAATGCTCTAAGGCCCTTAAGCTCCTTAAGGTTTTATCCCATACTTCTTGGACCGGAGAAGAGCATGATCCTCTTTACATTCCTCTCTCATCCTGCTAAACTCATTTATGGTTGCCCTACTTACTCGTCTGCATCTCCTACTCTTCGCAGTCTTGATTCTTTGCACCATACTGGGTTGTGCTTCACCTCTGGTACTTTTCGTACTGCCCTCGTATTGTTTGTTGACACTGGCTTCCTATCTCTTCAGGTCCGCCATGATCGCTACCGTCTTCCCTATCTTGCGCGGTCCTAACATCCTTACTCTTGTCTCTATCGTGCTTTGACATTTACCCCTCCGGTAGTTACTGTTATTCTTCACTACCTCCCTCTTTTTGTCCGGTTATCTCGCTTACAGAATTATTTTTAGATTCGTATTACTGCTTTTTCTCCTCGTATTGTTCCGTCCTTACCCCTTGTAGAGGGTCCCCCCCCCCCCGTCCTAAATCTTGTACATCTCTGACCCGTATCGCTAAAGTTTTTACTCCCTCCTACGGTTCTGACACTCATTTTTCTTGACCATTTTTCTTCCCTCTACCACTAGATTTCCATCTTCACCGATGGGTCTAAATCTGCAGAAGGTGTAGGCCACTGTTATTTTTTTCCCCTGACGACACTTGTCACCTGCCTCTGGAGACTAGCATCTTCACAGCAGAACTTTATGCAATTCTCTATGCTCTAGTCTCCTACATTTTCGTTGTCAATCCTCCTTTATGGTTGTAGTACTCTCTCGTTGTGCCCTAATGCCTCTAGGGTCCTTTAATACAGTCCATCTGGTGGCTGTCGAGATTAAACATTGGCCGTTTCTTATCTCTAGTAAATTTAAATCGGTAGTTTTGCTGGGTTCCCAGCCATATTATAGTTTCTCTAAATGAGCGTGTGGATGCTGCCACTACGGAAGCTATCCGCTTTTGTCCCATCTCCAGTAAAGGTATTCCTTATTCAGACTTGTACCCAGTTATTCGTTCCTCCATCCTTGCTCGTTGGCAGGGTTGTTGGTCTTCGGTTACTGGTAACAAACTGCGTACTATTAAGCGAAGTGTCCCCCATGGTCTTCCTTCATACCACTGTAACCAGCGCTGGAAAACGGCTCTGGCGAGGTTGCGTATTGGCCAAAAACACTCAACTTGCGGTCACTTAATGGAGCGCTACCCTGCTCCTTATTTTCCGAATTGCTTTGTTCCTCTTAGTCGCGCATATCCTTGTTGAATACCATGACTTCCAGGACAAGCGTGTCCTGCTTTCCGATAGTTCCTCGCGATCACTTTTCCCCTCGATAGAGTTCTTGGTGAATCGGATACTTCTAATGTCGTTCGCCTTGTGTATTTCTGTTCTCGTATTGGCATCCTTGGTGTTATTAAGCACCCTCTGATTATTCAGCACATTTGACGGTGCTACATAGCTTTCCCAGTTTAGTGCCTTCCTTTGATTATTAATTATTGTGGTTGTAGCAGCTTAATGAATGTGAAATTCGTTGAAAAAAAAACTAATTTGCTTTCTATTGAAGCTGCAATACTGAAACTTGAAACAGTTGCAGCCATTTTCATATCAAACTAGTAAAAAAAAGTTTGACCTTGAACAACTTATTATGACCCCCTTAATTACAAATTAAGAGGGTGGGTGGGGGGTGAAATATGAAAGGGGTTCAATGGTGGAGAGGTTGGGGTAGACTGTTACCTTTGCTTGTACATAAATGTGTAAATCAACTTATTGGAGAGAGGGAAGAGATGTTGAATTGGCAGGAGGGATCCAGAGCCTTTAACAGCTACCCTCATAGTACATGATAAAATTATAAGTGTTGTGCTATTAATGTAACTTTTTTTTTGTATTTTTATGAAAGGTAATATGAATATGTAATGGTTATCGTGCAAAAGCCAGAAAGTCGTGAGCAAGTTTCTAAAATTAAGAGATGTATGTTTGGCAGTGGGTTCTGCAGGAAGTGCGGGCGCTGTCGGACCGCAGGCCAAAATAGAGGACGATCATGTGAAGGAGGCACTGAAGATGGACAAGGGCAGAGAGGCCATATTTATCTCTCAAAGCGTAAGAGACCTTGCTGGCAAGGGCGACCACTTTTCTTCAACAGTTACCAGTGTTGAAGTCAAATTCTCCCTGATGGGGAAGCATAACGTAGTGTCTTATGTGGTAAAAATAAGCCCACATAGATCAGAGGACCACTTGGCTGATTTTCATTTATCCATGATGAAGAAAGAAAATGAATTTTTCAAGGAAATCCTTCCGCAACTCAACTCGGAGCTGAATTCCTTGGGGCACAGTAACTTGAGAATGCCAAGGTGGTTATACACATCTTTAGAAGAGGATAAAGAGCTGATCTTCTTGGAAGACCTCCGACCTTTGGGCTTTAAAGTATTCGACTGCAAAGTGGGCCTCGATGTAGACCATACAAACCTGGTCCTGAAGGAGCTGGCCCGACTCCATGCAGCCTCTCTCCTGCTAAAGGCAAAAACGCCCTTGCAAGACCTGGCTCAAACATTCCCGCACATTGCTGTAGACTGGACCAGTTTATCGGAAAATGCGAAGAAAATGCATAACAAGACGTTTAGCGGGTGCCGAGGCCTTGTTGACCAACATGAAGGGCTACGAGGTGGCGAGGCTGTGGTTGGCCAAGCATCAGAACAACTCTCTTGATCTTGTCAAACACTTTCTGGTCAGAAATCCCAAGTTTGATGTGATTTGTCATGGCGACTGCTGGGTGAACAACGTACAATTCAGGTAGGCAGAAGTTTGTTCATCCTACACTTTTTAGATGTATTTTGGCTCTCAATTTTGAAAATTTAACTCGCTCAAATAGGTATTTTTTTTTAATGATATACAAAATAGTTCGTGTGCCACTAATGTTTTACCTCATAATTCCAGGTACAGTGAAGGTAAACCGGTTGATGTAATGCTCCTTGAACTCCAGCTGAACCGTCTGGCTTCCCCGGCCACAGACTTAAACTACCTTCTCTACACCAGCCTCCACGGCAAAGACAGGAAGGCGAACTGGCGGGACTTCCTCTCCTACTACTATGACTCCTTTAGAAGTGTGATGGAGGCTGGGGGTAGGGGGATGCCCTTCACCCTAAAGGAGCTCCATCAGGAGTACAGAAAAAAGATGGAGTACGGTATGTTGTATGGGTCAATAACGGTGTCGTTGGTGATGAGGGAGAGCTCCAGTACCCTGGACGAGAAGAAGAAAAATCCACAATTTCTATCTCGATTCCTCGCCTTGTATGGTGAACTGATTGAGCAAGAGCGATCACGTCTTTAATGTTGCCCAGTGAAGAAATAGCAGGAAATTTATTTATACCTAATGAATTCGGCCTTGTAGCCGACTGTGGCAATGTGGTGGACATTGATCCTGAACTGTCGGTGTTTTTGCAGGAGCCTCGGACCCAGAACCTACCAAGAGTATCTCTATGAATGTAACTAATTACTACTTGGAGTACCAAATTTGGCAAGTATCAACTTTTACTCGGACTTCTGAAGTCTTCGTGTATATATAAGGGTAACAATTTACCCTTTCACTTGCTTAGAAAGTTGATAGTTCCACCATTGTCCTTTAATACCAAATAAATATCTATAAATTGTTAATGATCTAATTATAAAATTAATAGGCATTCTTGTACTTGTCAATTCTCTCCCTTTTATAGTTATTAAATTTGGAAAGGTCTTTAAAATATGTGGGACCTAAAACATGGCTCCTTTTCGTCCTGACATCTAATGTCTTGACAACTTCAGTCGGGACAAATATTTTAGACCAGGCAAATAATGCTCTAAATTGGTAACTGTAGTGACCTTGGTCCTGCCTGCTGCTGCCGCCAGTATTGTAAGAGCTAAACATGGTCATGGTTGTAAAAAGTTGGTCAGTTTGATGGAGAAGGGATGGGGGGGGGGGGTTGAGGTAAATGGGGAATTTTGTATAAAAAGTTTACACTATTAATACTAGATATTTAATTTTCAGTATATTAACAAATCTAATCTACAAAAAAATGACTGAAAAAGTTGTGAAGCATTTTATTGAACGTTAAACTTCATGCTTGACTTGCAATACAGCACTCAATGGTGTTGACATGATCGCACCAATAATAGCTTGTCAAAAGTGATTTACAATGTTAGGCTTGCTAACGTCAACACACTGAGGAGGATCCACACAAATCTTTGGCCAATAATAACTATTTTACAATTGCATTCTATGTAACGTTCCAAGCTACTTAACCATGTTGACGAATTATTTAGACAGAAGTCACAATATCACTAGACTGTTGAGATTGATATACTCGGTGGCCACAAATACCCAATCGGTTTTGTTTGCTACTTTCTAATCTTGATATTAAACAATCACTTCAATCACATTCGTTTTGCATGTGCGGTATATAATCTATTAAACCCTCGGTAAAGTCGGAATTCAGTTAAGAGATTTTGGCGGTCAATGTCACTAGCTTAATCTTTTGTTTCCGTCCCCCTCCCCGCTCAGCTCGTTGTCGCCGTCTGGGGGCTTAGTGGGCGGCTGCCGGAGTGTGATGCTCCTTGGGACAGTCCTCGGTCCTTTTCTAGCCTTGTGCTCCTGCTGCCGTCCTCTCCAATTCTGCTGGGCATCTTTTTCCTTTTCCTTCTGTTTCGTTTTTCTCCCCCCTCTTCTCCTATCTGCTTGCCGTTTCCTGCCGACCTTTTGCTCGTTCTGGTTCTTCCCTTGGACTTCTTCTACTTTGACGCCCGGGTGCTTGAGGAGGCATACTCTTGCACCCGTAGAACTGCAGTACCCGACGTCGAGAGCGAGGGGAACCTTTTATTGTCAATCCCCACTTCGTCACTGAACCCGATCTCGACGGACTGTCGGTTTCTTAAGGTGGCGTTTGTGGGGCGTATACTCACGACGCACCCCTAGGAGGCCCCGACAAGATCGGCGATAGCTTCTTGTTGGGTGTCCTGCCTCTAATTGTGGCTCCATGGTGGGTGTGGGGGCACATTCGTGAGTGAATTCGTAATTTCGTCAAGATAACCCCTGTTTCGGCTGCTTCTGGCTTACCTTTCAGGCTCGTGGGGTGGGCGACCAAGCCCCCGAGTCGGTCCGTATTGGAAGACCGGGCTCTGTAGCCTCCGCTGCATTGGGCCCCGACCTTGCTCCTCCTTTGGCCTCTCTGACTCCTTCCCCTGGCTCCCCTCCCTTCTCTGTGGTTGGGTCGAGCCCCAAGCCCCCAGTGGTGACTACCTCGTCCCCTGGCGCGGCTCCTTCTCTAGTTGTAACTACTGCGCCTTTTACCCCTCTCTCTCTGGGGTTCTCACCGCCGTTCTCGTCACGGCCGCCCTCGCTCGATTCCTTCCAGTTCTGCTACCTATCAAGCCTTGTTTGGTCCCGCTTCGTGGGCGAAATATTTTGATCTCCTCCCTCTTGATTCTGCGCGTCCTGACGATTTCTCCCTTCATCGACATCTCATTGATTCCGTGGATGCTTCCATTACTTTTAACCCCACTCGTCTCGGTATGCGTGTCGTTGCTGCTCCTTCTCAGGATGCTGCTTCCCGCTTGGCTGCCTTATCCTGCCTTGGCGAGACCCCCGTTCGGGTCTCGAAGAACGTTCAGTTGAATGCCAGTGTTGGCACTATTTTGCTCCCGCCCCATGTTGCGACCGGTGTTCGGGACCTACGCGACTGCCACGACGATATTCGACATATCCTCGCTGCCCAGGGCCATTCTATTCTCCAGGTGGACACGTTTACTCGTCCCCCTCGTGGTAGTCGCCGTCAACCCCTCCGGGTTGTGAAGATTACCTTTGATGGTAGGACCCTTCCACCCTCTGTCATTCTTGCTGGTGCCAGGTGCTCTGTCCAGGAGTACATTCCTTCTCCTCGGCTCTGCAACAAGTGCTGGAGGTTTGGGCATGGTGCCCTCCGCTGCTCCGGGGCTGTCTCTCTCTGTCCTTTGTGTGGTGGCGAAGGTCACTCTAAGTCGGAGTGCGCTTCTCCCCAGGCTCGGTGCCTCAACTGCGGTGAGGCCCATCCTACCTTCTCCCGTGCGTGTGTCCATTACAAGCTTGAGGCAGCCGTCCTCAACTTGAAGCACCGGGAGCGTTTATCTTTTCCTGAGGCGAGGCGCCAGGTTCGCCGGCTCCCGCCTTATGCTAATATCTCTTATGCTCGCGTGTTGCGCTCTTCCTCTCCTCGTCCTTCCCGCCTTCCTCAGACTCACAACCGTTTCCAGGCCTTGGACCCTGATGCGCCCACTGCCCCCTCCTCTGTCCCTTTGGGTTCTCTCCCGAAGGATCCTCCTCCTGGTCCTCTGTCTGGGGTTCCCCTTCCTTCTACCCGGTCTGTCGTGTCTTCTGTGTCTCCTTCCTCGTCCCCCTCCGATCCTCCTTCCCATCCTCTTCCTCCATCTATCGGCTCTCCCCGCCGCCTGTCGGTGCGGGCGGATGTCCATCGCTCTCCTAACGGCCGTCGTGTGTGCTCTCGTTCGGCTTCTCCTGTTGAGACACTGGAATCCGTTGCCCGGTACGTAGTTGCTGGGACACCGGTCTCTTTAAGTCAGAAGCGTAAGCCTGGCTCCTCTCCTTCCTCTTCCCCGGCGGGTAAGAAGGCTTCGCTTTCTTCCTCAGCTCCTCCTTCTGGCTCTGTTACTCCTTCCCTCCCGTTTCAGTGCTTGCGCCCCCTGTTCCTGCTATGGAGGTTTCTTTGGCCCCTGCTTCCCTTTCGGTTGCTGCTCTTGCTGGGGTGCGCTCCTCTCTTCTACTCCCCCTCTTTCTGCTGCTGTCCTTGACTGCTCCTCTCCGTTGTCTCCTCCTCCTCCTCCTCCTCCGGACCCTGCCCGCCCACCTCTGATCTGTTCTCCCGTTTCCTTCCCTCCGTCTTTGCTCAGTTTACCCATGCCCCCTAACCCTGACTTTGCTGACCCTGATATTCTTTAACGTGCTCTGTTGGTCTTTCGCCTTTGTTTCTTCCTTGTTCTCTGTTTTTGTCCTTTCTCTTCTCGTCGTTGTCCATTCTTCAATGGAACGTTCGAGGTTATTACGCCAATTTCCTCGAACTCCAACTTCTGGTTTCGCGGTTTTCGCCCCTTTGTGTCTGTCTCCAGGAGCCGATGCTTGGTGCTCGTCCTGGTCGTTTTCGTGGCTATTCCTTTCTCTCCCCCCCCCCCAGCCATTGCTGGGGCTTCTAATTCTTCTGCTCTCTTGATTCGGGCTGATGTTCCCTTTGTTCCTTTACTTTTTCCTTCGCCTCTCCATTGTTCTGCTGCTCGTATCTTTGTGGGGAAATGGTACACAGTTTGTTCCATTTATCTCCCCCCGAGTGTCCCGCTCTCTCTTCCTGATTTGAAACACCTCCTAGACTCCTTGCCGGAGCCTGTGCTCCTGCTGGGTGACTTCAATTGTCGTCATTCTCTTTGGGGTGACGTTCTGACGAATACCCGGGGTCGCCTCCTTGAGCCGTTTCTCCTCTCTTCTTCCCTGTCTCTTCTGAATTCTGGTGAGCCCACTCATTTGGACTCTCGAACTCGCACCCTTTCTTGTCTTGATCTTTCTCTCTGCTCTTCTTCTCTTTACTTAGATTTCACATGGCAGGTTCTTGATGACCTCCATGGAAGTGATCATTTCCCCATCCTTGTTTCCTTTTTCTCTTTTCGCCCTTCCCTCTCTTTCCCTAGGTGGCAGTTTGCTAAGGCGGACTGGACCCTATTTTCCCTCAGTGCTACTCTCTCTGACCTCTCCCTTCTGCCCCTCTCTCGCGCTCTCCTCCTGTTTCATGACACTGTCTTCGACGCTGCCCTCCGCTCTATTCCTCGCTCTTCCTCTCGGGGTCCACGGAAGTGCGTTCCCTGGTGGAATGCGGACTGTGCTCGGGCTGTCCGCTGTAAGCGTGCAGCCTGGAAGAAGCACCGCCGTAGGCAGACGACCGATTCTTTTCTTTTCTTTCGGAAAGCGAGTGCGGTGGCCCGTAGGGCCATCCGTACGGCTAAACGTGAATGTTGGGCATCTTATGTCTCGACAATTACGTCCGAAACCCCTCTGGCCCAGATCTGGAAGCGTATCCGCAAGATAGCGGGTAAGTTCGTTCCCGATGTTTCACCGGTCCTTCACCTCCATGATACTCTTGTGGCGGACCCGTTGCAGGTCGCTTCCGAACTGGGTTCCCACTTTTCTTCTGTTAGCTCTGGTCTTCATCTTCCCCAATCTTTCCTTCTTCGTAAACCTGTCCTTGAGTCTCGTCCTTTAGATTTCTGCACTCATCTTCAGCTTCCCTATAATGATCCCTTCTCTCTCTCTGAACTTCGTTCTGCCCTGGCCCTCTGCGGTTCTACGGCGGCGGGCTCCGATGGTATTCATTATGAGATGCTTCGCCATCTCCCTCCGAGCACGTCTCAGTATTTACTGAGTCTGTATAATCGGATCTGGGAGTCGTCGTCAGTCCCTGAGGACTGGCTCGATGCCGTTGTCCTCCCTGTTCGCAAACCGGGGTCTCTGGGTACTTCCCCTAAGGACTTTCGCCCTATTGCTCTCACAAGTTGTGTCTGCAAACTCTTTGAACGTATGGTTAACGTTCGTCTGATGTGGTTCCTGGAACACCATCACCTCCTCTCCCCTTCTCAATTTGGTTTCCGCAAGTGCCGCAGCACGACAGATGTCCT